GAGATTTATCTACAATAGCAGGTCCCCAGGGCTGGCGGGCACAGAATTCCCCAGGCTAAGTTCAGTCCAGAGGCGACAGCGAGGGGTCGCGGGGGTCTGTGAGCTGGGCTGGCACCACAGCGGGCAAGGACATTCAGTGTGGAGAAGTGTGAAGGGACGCGCCCTGGGAACCCCAATCCCGGCTCTGCCCACGCAGCGTTGGGCCCACGCGAGAGATCTCGGAGCCCCGGCTCGCTCCTGCCAAACCGCCGCTCGCCATGCGGCCGCCCTCGGGAAAGCTCCCAGCGCGTTAGGAGAGAGACTGAGACAGGAAATCTCACCCTGCCCCTGTCCGATCCCTGGCGCCCAGTGCCCACCCTGGCCTGCCACGCGCAGAGCCGCCCCCCGGCTCCAAGAGCTCTAGGCCCTGGGAGAAAGGCCAGACCCAGGCTGTAGGAGAGGCGGCAAAGCCTGGGCCCGCTCAGCGGGGAGAAGGGGCGACCGCAGGGCCACGGCAGGGCTGTAAACTCCTGGCTGGGGCGGAGACAGTAACTGGGGCACCCGACCCGGGGGGCTCATGGAGCAGGTTTCCAGCGGGCAGGATTTCCATTAACCTGTGGAACTCACTGCCAGGGGATGGGCTGAGGCCAGAAGTAGAAGGGGGTTTGACACAGAAAGAGCCACGTTCCTGGAGGCCGGGTCCAGCGACCGCTGTTGGCCAAGCTGGTCAGGGACACAGCCCCTTTCGCAGGGTGGCCCCAAAGCTCAGGGTGGATCATGGGATAATTGTCCTGGTCTGTTGGCCCGTTACAGCCCTTCTTATGGCCCTATTCCGCCCGAGGGCTGGGCACAGAACCCAGGAGTCCGGGCTTCCCGTCCCAACCCCCTTTTCCCTCTCTGAGGTGGGCACAGAACCCAGGAGTCCGGGCTCGCCGCCCCTCTGTCTTGATTGTAAATGAAAAGCCAGACCGCGAACGAGCTGGGCGGGGCCAGCGGCTGCTAACGAGGGAGCCCGATACACGGAGACAAAACAGAACCGAGCCAGCCAGGAGTCGAACCTAGAATCTTCTGATCCGTAGTCAGACGCGTTATCCATTGCGCCACTGGCCCTGACTGGGGTAACACCCAGCAGCCGCTCCTATAGCGCCGAGCCAGGGCTGCTGGGAGACGTAGTCCACTTGGGGGTTGGGGAGGGACACCCACACACACGGTACATGCTGGGAGATCTCTGTGCCTCCATGGGGAGTGAGGCATGGTGGGAAATGTAGTCCACAAGCAATGGGCGGGCGCTATCGTGTCCTCCGAAGAGGCGCCGAGCATGGTGGGAAATGGAGTGCAGGCCCCAAGGCATGCTGGGAATGTAGCATAGGCTGCCCACACATACTATGGGGCCCAATGCCTGGTGGGCAATGAATCCTTCCACCCCAGGGGCGCAATGCATGGTGGGTAATGTGGTCCTGGCAGGGAGGCTGCTCGTGCCTGGCGCTGGGCATGCAGGGAAATGTAGTCCTTGCCCCGCGAACCGCATGACGGGAAATGGGACCTTCCTGATGCCACGACCGCGATTGGTTCTCGCCGTCTTGGGCCCGCCCCTCCACTCTCCGATTGGCCGTCTGGACTGGAAGCGCGCTGCGGTTGGCCGGCGCGGCCCGGCGCGGCGCTGTGATTGGCCGGCCAGGTCGGTGGCGCGTCTTGCAGTGATGGCGGCGGCAGCGGCGGTGGCGGCTCCGGGCCCGTGCGGGGCCGGGGGGCCCCGCGTGTCCAGCGGCCGGGACCTGAGCTGCGTCCCGGAGGTGGCGGAAACGCTGGGGGCCGTGGCCCGGCAGGGGTGAGACCACGTGACCCGCCCCCACGTGACCATCGCCCCGCCCCCTCGGAGCCCCGCTCATGTGGCGGGGAATTGCCTGGGATCCCCGGGGCCGGCCTCCCCTTTCCCTCCCCC